AATTTCCCCATCAGTCTTTATGTTTATGTTACTCATATAACACACAACAGGGCCCACCTTCATCCAGACTGATGCAAATGTATCAACTTTTCATTAAAGCCAATCCAGACATAGTACAGTCAAAGATAGACTGCCTATATGTTATGTATGTCTACTGTATTACTATTTGTGGAATGGTAAAATTCAGAAGCTAAGCAGAATTTCAGGTAGCTCCAAGGATTGTCAAGAATCATTGAATCTTTAAATGATGGAATAGTTTGAATGATGATCATGTGCAAAGGAAACTTTGCAGGTGACCACTTAGAACAGAAGAATAGTTAGACAAAGTTTTATATGTAGCCACTTTTGATGAAGACCTTAAAGAATTCAGCAGTTCCTGTAATGTACATTTCTAACCATAGTGATAGCATAAAGAGGATGCCTGATATTTATGGAGACTGTTACAGATTTATGAGATAATTATCTGCTTTCCTCATTTGACTCTGTATGAGGCCATTGTAAGAATTATGATTCTAGGGAACCACTTGCTCTGTTTCAGTGGTATAATTGAATGGGTATAAGTAGATTCAAAATTTTGTATAATGTTTTAAATAGATTTTTGTCTCATTTCACATATATACAATGGAATATTACTCAGCCATAAAAAGAAACAAAATTGAGATATTTGTAGTGAGGTGGATGGGCCTAGAGTCTGTCATACAGAGTGAAGTAAGTCAGAAAGAGAAAGACAAATACTGTATGCTAACACATATATATGGAATCTAAGAAAAGAAAATGTCATGAAGAACCTAGGGGTAAGACAGAAATAAAGGCACAGACCTACTAGAGAATGGACTTGAGGATATGGGGAGGGGGAAGGGTAAGCTGTGACACAGAGAGTGGCATGGACATATATACACTACCAAACGTAAAATAGATAGCTAGTGGGAAGCAGCCGCATAGCACAGGGAGATCAGCTCTGTGCTTTGTGACCACCTAGAGGGGTGGGATAGGGAGGGTGGGAGGGAGGGAGATGCAAGAGGGAAGAGATATGGGAACATATGTATATGTATAACTGATTCACTTTGTTATAAAGCAGAAACTAACACACCATTGTAAAGCAATTATACTCCAATAAAGATGTTAAAAAAAAAACAAAACAAAAATAAAGCAGACTAACACACCATTGTAAAGCAATTATACTCCAATAAAGATGTTAAAAAAAATTAAAATGTATTGGATTTAGCAGTAATATATCAATACAGCAAATGTTAAAAGCTGATAATTGTATTTAGGAAACTAAATGAAAAGATGGAGAATTTTAGAAGTAAAAAAAGAAGCAAATAAAAATTGTAGAAATTAAAAGTGCTGTCACCAAAAGTAATAACAATGCATGAACAACAGAAGATTATAAAAGGTGAAAAAAATTAATGAAATGGAAAATAAATCAAAAGAATGTACTCAGACTGAAGCTTGGAGAGGCAAAGACAGAATATACAGAGGCAGATGAGAAACAAAGAAAAGTTCTAACACAGATGTATTTGGAGTTCCACAAGGAATGAAGACAGAAAGAATGTGGCAGATGCAAAAGTTGAGGAGATAATGGTTAAGAATGTTTCCGAACTGATGAAAAACATTGAACCAGAGATTAACAAATGCTACAATCTTAAGCAAGACAAATACAAGGAAAACTTCATTTGGTCATATCATAGTAAAACTGATGAAAACCTAAAAAGAAAGATTTGAAATTGGCCAGATAAAAAAGGCAAGTTACTTTTAAAGAAGCAAGAAGAAACCTGGAGGGTAACTCTTCAATAGAAAAAAAGAGAAGCCAGGAGACAATGGAATGGTATTTTTAAGTGCTAAAGAAATAACAGTAAAAGGATGGAATATATATCCCATATGAAAACTAACAGAAACAAAGTTAATGTATGCGTACCAAGAGTATGAGGGACATAGAAAGGCTGAGGAATTACTTCAGACTGAGGGATACTGATGAGCATAATGTAATGCAGCATTTATTCCTGGATAGGATCCTGAATGAGATAGGAAAAATATGTAGTTGGGACAGTTGGCAAATCTGAATAGGGTCTATGGATTTAATGATAGTGTTTATCAGTGTTGATTTTCAGATTGGTATGGTTGTATGATCACGATTTATGAGAGAATCTCTGGGAGAGTAACCATAGAGTTTTTAAGGAGAA